TTTGTTTAACAATATGAATAGTTAATAAATCATATATGAATATCGAATTGATTTGAACATAGGTTAACAATTAGTCAAATAACACTTCAAAATAACTTTTCTTATATTTCGTATTTTTTATGTTGTAAATGCATGTTATGGCTTAATGAAGTATGTGTTTTTAGAATTTAAATTTAATGGGTCAATGCATTTTTAGATGCTGCACAATAAAGTGAATTAATTTTATGATTAATAAATATAAATTTATTTCAAACTTTTTGAAATAAACACTAACACACATGTATAAAAAATTATACTTATAATGTGTGAAATAAGTTGATAATTGTATATATCAAAGTCAAACAACTCCGATTTTATTCTTTAAATCGAATACATAATTATTTGTATTGTATTCGAAAGACATTTGAACCAAAAAAATGAATTGTATTCGTATTTATATTCTGGATTATTACAAATGGGCTTGGAATTTGTATGCAAAAATGTATATATGGGTTACACTTTGAGGATATTTCTATCTTTTAAAAGTTATTATAGTGTTATTACTATTATTATTAATATTGATATTAATATTATCATTGTTATTAATCGAATATATAATTGATTAATATTCGAATCGAATACACTGATATTCTTATTTGTATTTGATAACAATTTGAATCAAATTTAATATTTTTATTTGTATTTGTATTTGAATTTTCCGAATTCGAATCGTCTTATACGAATTCGAATCGCGAATCGAACACAAATTATTTGATTCGTTTAGAAACCTAGATGGGAGGTGTATTTATTAGGCAATGGGTTTAAAATACTCCCGAAAAGGTTGGTCAAATTTGACTTTTACGTAGTTATGATGCTTGGTTGACCTGAGAACCCTTTTGGTTGACCAATCACCCTTCTGTTGGTTCAACCTTATTGATTTTCTCCGTCGGTCTCTCTAGTTATTTTGTTCTAATTGGTCCGTTCAAGCATCTTTGGGTAGATCATCCATCATGCCAAGTTCCTCCCTTGGCTTATTGAACCATTTTTCACTGAGGGGCTTGGTGAGAATATTTGCAAGTTGATCTGTAGGCACATGTTCCATGCAAATTGGCTTCTTTTCAACATTATCTAAGATGAAATGATGTCTGATCACAATATGATTGTGATATTCATGTAATTTCTGATTGTATATTTGTATTTTTAACTAGTTTTTATTAGTTCTAGTTGTGGAAATTACACATTTTTGGTGTAATACTTTATTTTCATTTTTATTTGTAATTTAGTTAGATTAGGATTTTTCTGAGCTAAACAGGTCAAAGATCATCCAAGGGATCAAGATTAGACCTTAAAAAATCAAGAAAAGTGCAAGGAGGCAAGAAAGATTTCAATTTGGAAAAATACTAATGTACCCGGTCGGGTATTGCCTATACCCGATCGGGTAATTGCTTGATTCGACTGTCCAACTCAAATCCGAAGACAAATGATCGTGGGAGCAAATTTTCATAAAGATTTGTCACATACCCGATCGACGAACATTTCATTAGTTAACATCTTGACATTAGTTATAGTAATAGCTATTTCTAATGTCTTCTAATAGACATTAGAAATATTTGAACATGATCTTATATATATATATATATATATATATATATATATATATATATATATATATATATATGTACAATGCTAAGGTAAGGTAGGCCTAAGAATTGTAATTCTTAGGCCTCTTTCATTTTAGGTGCTTCCGGGTCGAATTTTTTGATGAAATTTTGTGAGTATATATATATATATATATATATATATATATATATATATATATATATATATATATATATAGGGGTGAGATCACATACTAACCATTCCTCCCATGCTAACCTACAAACTATCAAAAACGGTGCATCTTTACATTATTTGTACTGCATATTGAAGTTCAAAGTGTTGCATATTATTTGTACTGCATATTAAAGTTCAAAGTTTTGCATATTGTTTTTATTGCATATTGAAATTCACAGTGTGCATCTTTACATTATTTGTACTGCATATTGAAGTTCAATGTGTTGCATATTATTGAGTTAGTAAGTTAGTATTTTAAGCATGGTTAGTATGTGATCTCTTATATATATATATATATATATATATATATATATATATATATAGGAAAATATTCAAGTAAGGTAGGCCTAAGAATTGAAATTCTTAGGCCTCTTTCATTTGAGGTGCTTCTGAGATGAATTTTTTGATGAAATTTGGTGAGCATGTTTTCCATGAAGTGTTGATTATGCCCACCAAATTTCGGGAAAAAATTCAATCGGGAAGTCGGTTTAATAATTTTTTCAAAATTGCGCAGGTTTTTACATATATAAAATACAGTTTTTTTTCAACAATTTATTTAAATGACTTCCCGATTGAATTTTATTGTGAAACTTGGTGGACATCATCTTCAATCCATGGAGAATATACTCACAAAATTTCATCAAAAAATTCGACCCGGAAGCACCTAAAATGAAAGAGGCCTAAGAATTACAATTCTTAGGCCTACCTTACCTTAGCATTGTACATATATATATATATATATATATATATATATATATATATATATATATATAAGATCATGTTCAAATAAGATCATGTTCTTATTTGAACCAAAACCTATATATATAGGGGTTAGTTCCTGTGAGAACACCCTCTTAGGAGAGGAAAAAAGATTAAAATCCAACCATTGAATAATCTAATCGTGTGTCTAAGATGAGTGCTTGGGTTTTTAAAAAACACACCTGCAGCTCACGTGATTCAACGAAAAACGAAATTACCAGTCATTCAAAACAACTAATAATTCAATCAGTTTTTATCGAACCACTAATATAACAAACGTAACTAACAAGTTGATTGCCAAACAAGGTCTAGACACCCATTGAACTCAAACGATGCACTTTCTGTGATTGCAAAAAAAAAAAAAAAAAAAAAATTGGATACACAGTCATATTTTATACTAGTATCTAATAAATTGCATCCGAACATATTCATTGATCCCGAATTTACTTTTTTGTTGAAGATCAAATAACTAATTTATTATTAAGCGATAGCAAAAATATAAGAGAATGAATAGCATGAGGTTACAATGGGTTGAGAGACAGTCTTTATTAGTAATATACGGTTCGTGAATAATACAATAATACGTACGTTCGTGTATAATACGATACAATTATATAAAATACGGCTAAATATATGTTTCATACGTTCGTGAAATGCATAAAGATACGAACGTGTTTCAAACGTTTCATAATTTAAAAATACGGCATATGATACATGTCTTATAGACTAATTTAATGATGAGAGTAAAGAGTAATTTAGCATATGCACCACATTCTTCAACAATTTAAAATGTACGGAATAGGTTTTTCAGATATAAAATTTTAATTCATAGGTACAATAAGTAATAAAAATGATATTTCCTATTTATGTAGAAATAGAGAGATATTTCTAGAGAATTGTTTAATTATTGTGGCCGTAAATTTGGTGAGCCGCCGTAATAATCTTTTCTCTTTGGAGTCTTTGTATGAGTAGATAACAAGAGTAACACAATAGTACTCCAATAGTAATATCGGAACGAGTTATGACTTTAAGAACCTAATTTATTAAATCTTATGACTATTAAACAATTAATGAGCATATAAGACATAATAATTTTTTAAGCAATATAAATAGTATTGAGCAACTAGACATTTTGCTTCAGTTGTACTACCCAATTAGACTTCAGTTTAATGGTGTTTCTTTAATAAAATATGTAACAATACGTACGGTACGTGTATTATACATTTTATCTTTAAAGTACGTGAATTTTTCAGTATTTTCTGAAAAATTCATAAACGGGAGTATTATACGCGAATTATACGTTTGAGTGTATTATACGTGAATTATACGCGAATAAACTAACAGACATAGAACGGAACAGATTTAATGAATCCTTCCAAATCGCTAACCCCGCAATAATGTAGTATAGTCTAACAGCCTTGCTGATCTTCTTGCTACACCAAAGAGAAATTAAAAAATTACAACTAAAAGATCTGGCTTCATCAGCCACCGGAAAGGGATAATTGGTTTGACTAGCAACCAACAAAGCGAAATCATTCGAGTAGAAATTTCTTGAAGCATCGGTTTGACCAGCCACCAAAAAAGAGATCCGCTTGATCATCTTCTTTTTTCCAGAGTGAGGCAGTGATTCAGGTGGTGGGCGAGTATTTTAAACATCAAAACAACAAGGTTGAAAAAACATCGCCAGATCGATCACACCGATTAGAAACGCACACCCTCTAGACACTGCTAGGAGAATAACATACCACACGCTCACATGAAGCGGACAAAATTCTCGGCCATTGAAGAAGCCGGACCAAATTCTTTGAAAATAGTAATTGAAAAAGAGCGAAAGCATAGAAAAACCTTTGATTTGATCTTTCATTGCATAGAGAATATCTTCATCTTCCAAAATCGGATCTTAAAGAGGGTTGGGGATGACCGCCTAACCGAATTTACTTATTAATGCATCAAATTTATTTTTCTCATGAGAAAGAAGTAAAAAACGATTGACATTTGGATAGACATATTTTATCACGTTCAACGTTCCCTTCTAAATAATATCCGGGGACAAGTTTATAGCTGTATATTTGTGGAGGGTGGGGGAGCGTATTAATTTTTTGTTTGTTTGACCAACTTTTTGAGATTGAAAATTGCCAAGTCTCCTTTTTATTTTATTTTAAATTTTAGATGTTGCACAAAAAATCAAAACTTTATTGCTTCAAAATTATTCTCTTTTCTAGGCAAAAAAGTAATGTTGGATGGCTAATAATTGTTTGAAACAATGACCTAATACCGATATACTATCGTATATAATGTAAAAACATTTATGTATTTCCTTTAATTCGTATCTGTGAACTAAACTTGATTGTATGTTATATATTTATTACTCCTCTTACTATAAGATGCTCCTTCGAAAAGATTGAAAATAATATTTTCAGCCCGTTTGGCAAACTCAAACTGGTCAATGGTTGGCTTGTATGAGCTGTTCACAAACGAATATACGGAGTAAAAGGCAAACGCAAACTAATCACTGCAAACAAATAGCCCTTTGAAAAAAGCAGAGAACCATAATCACTGCTAACACCCTTTTCCTCTCTCTTTCTTTCCTCAACCAAAAAAAGTCAAAGAAAAAATATTCAAGAACTTGTCGTGCCTTTAATTATGGAAAATTTCAGATCCAAATCAACAAGAGACGGGAGACTTCAAATGGAGATCTACAACGACGGCGGAGGGAGTTCCGGCGGCGGGCCACCAAACATGAAAGACATCAGAAGTTACAGCACTTCTTACGCATATACTTCATCTTCATCATCAGATACTGGATACAATAAAGAAGAGAAGATGAAGAAAAGCAAGAGCAGAGTTTCTGCCATGGGCAGTTTTGGGTCAAAGAGTGGGAGCTGGAAAAGCTTGAATGACCCAGAGTTGCAGAGGAAGAAGAGGGTGGTGGGGTATAAGGTATATTCCGTCGAGGGGAAGATGAAAGGCTCTCTCCGGAAGAGTTTCCGGTGGATCAAAAACACTTGCACCCAAGTCGTCTATGGTAATTGGTGGTGATCAATTTCATCCTTTATATATAAATATAGTTCTTTTTTCCCTTTTTCTCCTGGATATGAATATGCAGTTGTTATGGATCATAAAGATCTACCAGTTCTTCAAATCTTGTTGTATTTGAGTATATATCGATCTATATGTATCAAAATGTTGTGAAAAATTGGATCTTTTCCACTTAGAGAAATCATCATCAATTTCTTTGAGCCTCTTTAGTTTTGATAGATCATAGATGCTGTTCCTGCCTTGCTCATATTTGGAAGTGAAAGATGATCTGATTTCATGTATAAAAACTACTGTATCTGAAAAGACCTTTCTTTTTAATGCCCAGCTCTGCATTTTTCTTATTTGAGATGTTTTCTGTAATCTGAGTTGGATTACCCGATTTAGAATCTTTCACTACCTTTCTCCCATGAATTCTGCTAAATTTTATGTAAAGAAAAATGTTGGTTATTTTGTAATTTTAGCTGAAGAAATGTCAAATACTACGTACTACTTGATTAGTGATTACATCCCCTAATTGCAGTGGAAGCGTGATAACGCCTATTCTGGTAGCCAGCTGAATTAGTAGATACTTCAAAGTCTAAAAATTGACTGGCTTTGCATTTTGCTACTAGTTTTGAGAAATGGGTTATTTTAAAAGTTATTTTTGGAGAGAAGTATAAGCAAATTTTCTCAAATGGAGGTAAATTTGTCATCTTTTAAAAACACTGACTCATGCACTCTTACATTACCTCTGTCCCAATGGACTTTGCACTAATTGAGTTATGTGAGAAATAAAAATAGTAAAAATTGTGTGATTGAAGATTGTGTATAGGAGAGAAAAATTAGCAGAACCACAAAATAATTATTTTAACTTTAAGTCTTTCAATAGGACTTGAGTCTTTCAAAAGGAGAGAAAACATAATTCATGTTCTTGCTTCTCCTTTGATCAATTTCTTTATGAAGATGATCAATAGTAAAGGTTGACATTATTTGAAAATAAAAAATGATTTTATTAAAGTAAAGATTAGACTTTTTTGGTAAAAGTGACTTTGTTGCTATTTTGTGAATAGTAAAAGTGAAAATAATTTTAACCATTACCCTTTGGTTTTAGCTTAATGCGATTAACTTTAAGCAAAATTATGTTTTGAAAAACACTCCTTTTGACGGTCGTAAACCAAAAAACTCAAAAACGCCTCATAAGAGGTTCATTATATGTACAAAGAGGGAACAAACTCTAACCGTCTCCTCATTTCTTCTCTTCCTTTTGACGGTTTTAAACCAAAATACTCAAAAACTCCTCATTTAATTTTGTTCTTTTATTTTCAAACATGAAAAAAGATCATATTAGCAAGTGTTTTCAATGTACATTGAAAACACTTGCTAATATTTAAAGACTTTTTATTCAGTGGCACATCACCATATGTCAAGTGTTTACTTCCCACCAATCACCATCTTCGGTTGGGTGTTATTATTTGCTACTAAGAACATTGTGCAAATATATTACCAATTGTGGATCTAAATGTCTTTTGCAACAACATTGATCCAGCTTGCTTCCTCCTCAATAATCGTCGTGCCAGAAGATGGGATTACATGGTTTATTTTTGTGGTTTGGGAAACCAAGGACATTTCTAAACATGGGTCCTTATGGGTGACTAACAAAACTAGAAAGAGTTATAGTTCCTTTTAATTTGAGAGGATGGTGAAGTCGATATGCATGTCTTATATGTCTTACTGATGACTAGTAAAATTCATTCTTTCGACAATCACTTTTTTCGTAGGAGTAGCGCGGTTAATATATATGCATATATAGAGCCCGTTTGGAGAACTCTGTTTTCGGCTTATCAGGCTTATCAGCCAGCTTTTTCACCAAACACGTAACTTTTACTTTCGCGCGCTGAATTGTGTAATAAGCCGAAAAAGTAAGGTTGGAGTTACTTTTCTGGCTGTATTGGCTGAAGTTACTGTAGAGGACCATTTTAGCTATTTTTACATATAATTTTTTCTTTAATTTATTAATAAAATTTATTTTTAAAATATTTTTTTCTTAAATCAGCAGAATCAGCCAAAACAGCCACTCCAGCCAGAATATCATAAATTTCAGCAGAATCAGCCAAAACAGCTGATTTTGGTGCTACCAAACGGGCTCATAGTCTACAACTATATGAGATTAGCAGTGCGGCGTTTTCTCAATTTGGTATCTGTTTCTAAGGGGGGCTTTTGAATTTTTGATAATATTGAAAATGAATGAATTGATTAAATTTGTTAAAATTCATGAAATTGTGAGTGAATGGGCTATATGGGTTGCATCACCTAAATTATGAAAAAATGATACTTGCCCATATTTTAAAGTTCACAATTTCCTTTTTGAAACATATTTAAAAGTTTGTTACACTTTCCCTTCAAAAAGTTCAAGGGAAATTTTTGAAATAGGAGTAAAAACGTTTAAAATTTTCAAAATAGGACTGTCATGTTTTTATTCCCTAAATAGGAGTAATTACTGTCAAGTTTGTAAAATACTGCTATGTTTAAAGTCTGGTATCGCCAAAACTTGGCAGCAATTACTCTTATTTAGGCAACAATAAAAATATAACAGTCCTATTTTGGAATACACAAACGTTTTTATTTCTATTTAGGGCAAATTCCCAAAGTTTAATTACTCATATTTTTTCTACTTTTTACTAATATTAAATTAGGAATACTTTGTATATTTGGAAACTCTTATTATTAAAAATATATCTGCCAGGTACCTTATTGGCTAACCTTTCCCATTATTTCACATGGTATCAAGAGTCGATATTTTTTTCCCTCTCTCTACTAAAACCCTCAACTTGCACGTATGTCATCGGCCGATTCCATCGCCGCTGCTATGCATATCCAGATTGATTATCACTTTGTTCGTGAACGCGTGGCTCATGGTGATCTTGTGGTTAAGTATGTGCCTACTAGTCTTCATCTGACAGATATATTTACCAAGAGTCTCTCTAGTCAACAATTTCATTTTTTAAAAGACAACCTGCGCGTTGTATCTCCCGCACAGTTTGAGGGGGTGTAATAGCCTAATTTTAAATTAGGAATACTTTGTATATTTGGAAACTCTTATTTTTATAAATATATCTGCCAGGTACCCTATTGGGTAACCTTTCCCATTATTTCACATTTATTTTATCTTTCATACTTTTACACATCTCTTCTGCTTTTTTACAATGTTCATTATCCCTATTATTACTTTTCTCTTTAAACAATATAATGCACCAAAGTCATATGTAGCAATCTTTAAATTACAAAGGGAGTATTTAAAATATACTACAGTCATATGTAGTAATCTTTAAATTATACAAATATTAAAAATTTTAAAAAAATACATGAAAAATAGAAAAAAATGTGTTCAACAATGAGTTCAGTCAATTCATTAAGAAAGCAATTGCAATCTTACTTATTTTGGGGTTTTCCAATTCAAAGCATGAAATAAAAACTACGTAGCTAACGGCCGCTAGAAGAAGAAAAATTGGGGTGTTGTCCATGAAATAGATGAAGAAAAATTGGGGAAGAAAGAGACGAACGTGGAGAGCAGTCCGCTAGAAGAGAAGGAGAACATGCACAATAGAGATGAACGTGGAGGGCAGGAGTTGTCCAACACTTCACTACACCCCAATTTGGGGTGTTAAAAAGATGACAAGTATAGGTGTTAGGAAGTGTATTGTTAACATCCTCAAACACTTACTAACACCCTTAATTTTTTCAAAATTTTCTCCCAAACGGGTGTTAAACCGAACACTCTCTAATACTTCCATTACTAACACTCTCTAACATTTAATCCAAACATGCCGTTAGCTACGTAGTTTTTATTTCATGCTTTGAATTGGAAAACCCCAAAATAAGTAAGATTGCAATTGCTTTCTTAATGAATTGACTGAACTCACTGTTGAACACATTTTTTTTTCTATTTTTCATGTATTTTTTTAAAATTTTTAATATTTGTATAATTTAAAGATTACTACATATGATTGTAGTATATTTTAAATACTCCCTTTGTAATTTAAAGATTGCTACATATGACTTTGGTACATTGTTTAAAGAGAAATGTAATACTAGGGATAATGAACATTTTAAAAAAAGCAGAAGAGATGTGTAAAAGTATGAAAGATAAAATAAATGTGAAATAATGGGAAAGGTTACCCAATAGGGTACCTGATAGATATATTTATAATAATAAGAGTTTCCAAATATACAAAGTATTCCTAATTTAAAATTAGGCTATTACACCCCCTCAAACTGTGCGGGAGATACAACGCACATGTTGTCTTTTAAAAAATGAAATTGTTGACTAGAGAGACTCTTAGTAAATATATCCGTTAGTTGAAGACTAGTAGGCACATACTTAATAACCACAAGATCACCATGAGCCACGCGCTCACGAACAAAGTGATAATCAATCTGGATATGCGTAGCAGCGGCGATGGAATCGGCCGATGACATACGTGCAGGTCGAGGGTTTTAGGAGAGAGAGGGAAATAAATATCGGGTCTTGTTACCATGTGAAATAATGGGAAAGGTTAGCCAATAGGGTACCTGGCAGATATATTTATAATAATAAGAGTTTCCAAATATACAAAGTATTCCTAATTTAATATTAGGCTATTAATAAAAAATAGAAAAAATATGAGTACTTAAACTTTGGGAATTTGCCCTAAATAGAAATGAAAATGTTCGTGTATTCCAAAATAGGACTGTTATATTTTTATTGTTGCCTAAATAAGAGTAATTGTTGCCAAGTTTTGGCGGTATCAGACTTTAAAGGTATAAATAATATGTATCCACTATTCATACTTCATAGTTCATACACAGAGATTTTGGAATACGTATACCCTTTTGGTTTTAGCTGCTCATCCCAAACTTTTCGCCGGACGGCCGGAGCAATACACTTTTCCCTGTTCCACCCAATTTCTATATTTTTATCTATATTTATTAGAGAATATTCTTTTAACAATATTCTAGCAATATTGTTAAAACTTCGTATATACTAGCAATACTGCCAATACATATACATGAAAGACTTTGAATGGATCGACAAATATACATAGCAATACATATATGTGAGAGGTTGAATGGATGGATATATATTAATTTTAAAACGTGCACTACTTATATATTAATTTAAAAGTTATGAAGATAGTTTTGTCAATTAAAATGAAAACACTTCTATTATTAACACTTCATTTTTTAGCTCTCCCAAACAAGATAAGATTTTGTTTAACACTTACACTTCCCTTCCCTTTTGGGCTCCTCACAACACTCACTAACACTTCCATTACTAACGCCTCTCAACACTGCATCCAAACGGGCCGT